AACATCACATATATGAAATATGTTTTATTTTTCTGATTAACCTGTTATTTATGTTGTATTTAAATTGGAATAAAGGACAACTAATATTTAGTGTCACTAAGGTCTATGTAGATTTTGCCATAGCACAGATTTTATTGTTCTTTTGCTTCCATTGTTCATGATTAGACAACAATTTAGGGCTAAAAGAGCCAAAAATAATGGAGATGATTGAAAAACTCTGCCCTGACTTATGTAACACATCACTCATATATGCCCCTGTTATAGTATTTAAGGTCAAAGAATGACCCAACAATATTACTTTGCCCTTCACTTTGTCTACATTACATTAACATTGACTCACCTCTGCATGCTTAATGCTTAAATCTTAATGCTTAGATTTAATGCTTAATCTCTGTGTTACTCCCATATTTTTTATTTTTTTATTTTTATTTTTTTATTGTGTGTGATACATGTACACTTGCACCTTAATTCTTATTCTTATCTTGATATACTGTATATACAGTGCTTGCTTGTTCACTGCAAAAAATCTAAATCTAGATAAGTCATTTTTTCTTCAAATAGGTGCATTTGTTCTTGAATTGAGGAGGTAAAAGAGACATTTTGCCAATGGAACAAGACAATTTACACTTAAAATAAGAAAACACAATTGCATTGTCTTATTTCAAGTGCATATTATCTAATTATCTTATTTTAAGAATAAAATTACTCATTCCATTGGCAAACTATCTCATTTACCTACTCAAATTAAGGGTGAATATACTTATTTTAAGAAATTTTAAGTTATTTCTAGATCGTTTTTGCAGTGTTTATTCTTAATGCACCTTTTCCTCCTTGTTTGCACCTCGTTTAATTACTATGCCAATATGTGACCAGTGAATTTCTCCGCTGTGAGATCGATAAAACTCATCTAATCTGATCTAAAGTGGAAATTATCTGGCATATCGTGGGGAAAATTTACTTAGTCAACTTCTATCTGATCAGTGGTCGGCATTCAGAGTCCATAAAGATCACTCATCTTTGACTCCAGATGACCAAATGATCATTAAATGGGAAAAGGGCAAAAGAAAGCAAAAAATAAAACAACAATTCAAAATAGCTACATTAACCTAAAGTCAATGACTCTTTCCTTGCAAAGCGGTACACAACACATTTTATACCCCTCATCCCAATATATATATGCAAGAAAATAAATGTTAAAAATTTTATCTTTTACAAATACAGCTTATTTTTTCTCATTTGAACCAGGAAAAAAAAAAAAAAAGAGCATTCTTAGAGACGTTCCATTGGCAAGTTGAAATAAATCGACGGTACTGTAGCTGTGTAAATGCCGTTAAACTTTGGTATTGTAGCACAAAATTAATACAGATGCTCATCAAAAAATCACAACAAAATTATTTTACATTTAAAATGTAGATTTTAAACCAGAAACTAGAAGATCACTTGATATATATATAATCCACATTTCTAAATGTTAGGATTTTTTTTTAGAAAGATATATTATCACATGTCTTGGTGTGGCAAAAATAGCTGTTTGGTTTTATAAACAAATCTTTCTAATTTTCTATGCTGTGATTAATTTTTTTTGATAGAAATGACTGTTAATGAAATGTGCCTTTAATTCTTGTAGTAACCATAATAAAATTTCTTGGCTAATTTTATTATACAAAGTATTTGCAATGACATCACTAAAAAGTATTAGAACCTGGAAGAAGTAATGCGTGTAACCATGGCAGCACATGCAGGAACATACAGAGAGCAAAGGTTAACCACAGTTATCAAAGAAAAATCTTACATTTAATCAAAGGTTAACACCGGATTCAGTAGCTGCAGAATATTTTATCAGAAAAGAACTTGTTGGTGTTTTTAGCAAAGTGTAAAACCAGTTTATATCTAGCTGGCTTCTAAATGTGTCAGTGGCTTTCAAAAAGTTATCCCTTTGTCTGCACTGCAAAAACGATCTAGAAATAAGTAAAAATTTGTGTATTCACCCTTAATTTGAGTAGGTAAATGAGGTAGTTTGCCAATGGAATGAGTAATTTTACTCTTAAAATAAGATAATTAGATAATATGCACTTGAAATAAATCAATGCAATTGTGTTTTCATAATTTAAGTGTAAATTCTCTTGTTCCGTTGGCAAAATGTCTCTTTTATCTCCTCAATTCAAGAACAGATGCACTTATTTTAAGAAAAAAATTACTTATCTAGATTTCGATTTTTTGCAGTGTGCATGTCCTCCAGAGCAGCCGACAGGAAGAAAACAGAAATACAAAAACCCAACAAGCTGCATATAATATCATGTCTTACACTTTCTATTCATTAATGCAAGTTAATAAACATCTCATACTAACAGACCTGCATATAAGCTTTATTATCTGGCTGCATCCAGAGGTTGGCTCTGTAAAAGTGTAAAACATTTAATATGTGCATTTTATGTACTTTTCATTTTGGAAATTAAAAAATGTACAGAAGAAAAAGGTTTAAAGGCTAAACCAACTGTATATTAGCCTGTATTGTCTTTCATTAAACACCATTCACCAACTGTGTGAACAATTATTAAGAAATTTGAAATTATAGCTATTAATTTTAGCTATGCTTTTTAATCCAGAAGCGAGATTTTTTTTGAAAGGTTCGACTAGATGAGTGTGATGGACCCGATGCTCCATCAGTTACCTGCACAGAGCTCCACCTTCACTCAAAGGTCAGAAAGGTGAAGTTCTCTGGGCAGTTCCTGTAAAAAAAAAAAAAAAAAGGAGCTGGCTTACCTTTTCCGGTTTGAGGATTGACTCCATATCAACTTCACAACCTAGCGTCAATTCTTTAAGTAATCTCTTCACGCTGCGATGAAGGAAAAAGGTCTTTATGAAAGAAAATGCTTCGTTACAGACATAGAAGCACTCCATAGTTTTGAATATCTTTCTCACTTTAAAATATAGAAAATGAGCAGGTAATATTTTTATTTTTTTACATTTGTTTACATGATAATCCTGCTCATTGATAGTTGACCAATAATTGCATTTTGTTATAATAAATCCAAAGCTTGTTCTTGCCTACAGTAAGGTTTTTTTTCCCTCACATTTTCCAGCTAATAGGAGCTAATCTGTAGTTGTTCAATAATGGATTTAAGCCTGGAAAACACAACTTGTGCACACAGTTTAATAAAACAACCACTAAGAGTTATTTTAAATTATTTGTGTTCACATTTTAATTGTGTTTCTGTACCAATGGAAGATGATGATGTATATAACGAATGAAAAACAGAACTGTAAACTGTAAATACAGTTTTGACACGCTGTAAAATATGTCTGCAATTTTAAACTACAACAAAATAAAAATAAATACTAAACAATACAATGGCTTTATTTCTTCTTGATCGTCTGCTTTGAACTGTGATACCTATTTATGAGTAAAAAAAAAAATCAACATTATGAATAAATGCTGCAAAGTTAGATTTAAGTGGTTTTAAATAATTCATAAAGCGCAAAAAAAGATAGATTAATTGTTTTACTCTA